ATGTGCAAAAAGTGGGCAATCAAAACTGTAAAACACAAGGGAACCAACAGTCTGTGATTTATAGAAAGCCATATAGCTTATACATATCTTCTTCTCACCTAGAGTTGGAGATTTGTTTCAGACCTAACTGCAATTTGGCCAAATTTTGGCCGATTGAGTGTTCAGCAAAATTCACAAATTCTGAGCAGAAATGTACCTGAATTACGGACCACCTGAAATACGCTGTGCAGAGCATTATCGGATTATGGATTCTGTCCTGGTGCCCAAAAAGAGATGGTTGATGGGTAAAAGAAGATGATTGATGGATTGGAGACAGTCACTAAGTGTTGTTTTTCTTCGGAGCAGTAAAAAAACCACAGAAGGAGCAGAAGAAAATACTTATATATTATAACAGTGGTTCCCAAACATTTTAGGTTCAAGGCACCCTTAATATTTTAATATTTTTCCAAGGCGCCCCAAGACAAAAAAATTTCTAGGTTGTATATATGTATAGTGCAGTGGCATATACTGGGCCCCTGTTTGGCAGAAATGCTTGCCGTTCAAGTGCAGATCCAGAACCTAATCTTGGGCGGGGCAATGGTAGCTTATTTAGAGAAACAATCCAGGCACAATAACCACTACAGCACTTTGTAGTGGTTATGGTGCCATTAGTGCCATAGTGTCCTCCCAGAGTAAATAGTCAAACTATTTAAGAACAGTTTGACAACTTACCTGAGATCTGCCAGGATAGGGGCTGTAAAAGGGGATAGGGGCAGTAGTGTGTGAGGGGTTGTGTGAGAAAGGGGGAGGCAGTGTGTGTGTGAGGGGTAGGTTGTATGAGGGGTACAGTGTGTGTGTGGGGGTACAGTGTGTGTGGGGGCGGTATAGTGTGTGTGTGTTGGGTACAGTGTGTGTATGGGGTACAGTGTGTATGTGGGGTACAGTTTGTATGTATGGAGTGCAGTGTGTGTATGGGGGGCAGTGTTTGTGTATGGGGGAGCAGTGTGTGCATGGGTGGCATTAATGGCAGCACAACAATGCTTAGTCTTATACAAAACACAGGCTAGTATAAACTTAGTATCAAACTAAGGTGCTTGAGGAAAGGAAGGTGTTGGGCATATAAATTAAAACTGGGTGCACAGCAAATCTTCCCAGGAACATGTGTGTCCTCACTTCCAGTCAGTCTGACTAGTGGTTGTTAAGCTTAGACTTTGGACTCAGTAATGGGTCCTGCTGTCGTGTTGGTGGTGATCACTGATTGGAACAAGCTCATCTTAATAAACAGACCCCAGCTAGCTGCCTACAATAAATTACTTAGTAGCACAGACAAGGGTCTAATTTAGGTGTTTTGCTACATGTATTTTAATATTAGTTAAATTTGACACTTGACGAATGTATTAAAAAGAGATAATTTTACGACTGAAAAATGGCTTCCAAAATTAGGCTATTTACAGAACTAGAGTCCAGACAACAATCTAATGATAAACTGACATAAACCCAAACACACATAAAGTAACGTGTTTTTCTCCCAGTACTGATAACAAGATAATGATAAATATAACATATGTAATATATATTTACCCTGTAGACCAAGATTTTAATATCCCTGCCCTTCAAACAATTTGTCTTCTAAACAGAGGCTGCATTTCATTTTACACTGTGTCATAATGTTTTACAGAAAATAGCTAAAACAAGTTGAGAAGTTTATAATCATCAGGCAAATGAAAAGTGGCATTTTTAAAATGCTCCCAGCATTATCCAAATGTGCAGCAGTCTCATGCTTTCCTATGAGGTATTTCTGGAGTAATTAGTCATGTAAAGAGATGAATGTGGAGTGCTCCTGTATAAATAAGTTAAATTTCCATTCTTGACTGATAAAGGGATCTGTTTTCCACTTCATTCTGCCAAAGTAATTATTGATAAGCTAGTTAACTATGGCGCATCCATTACTGTAATTCACAGACAAACAGTCACAGTATTAAGTGAGATATTTTACGATGTATTAGATATGGAATATCTGTGAAGTTCCCTTTGACTTTACAGCTCCATTTGTGGAACACAGGGGGCGTTGTGCTGAATGTGGGACAATAGGCTGCATTGTAGACTTGCATGTTCTTTCCAGGCACACCACAATGACTACATACCGTCCTACAAGGATAATATAGTCACATTCCAGGCACCACTGAAAGGAGAGGGTAACTATTTAAAACAACTTGGAGATAGCAGAAGTCAAGCTGCAGAGATGGGTTTTAGGGGTAGGAGGCAAGATCCAGCAGAATATCAGAGGGAGCTGGAATATGTGCTTAGTGCCACACAAGAGGCTAGTGTGCAAATCTCTATCTTTGTTTAGTAAATTGTCTGAATAACATTAGTACATACACAATAATCTTCACGTAGAAGTACCCTGTGTTATGCATTTTTCATGCTAAATGGAAGTAAAAGATATAGACTGGAACTTGATAAATTGAAACCTTGCTTGCTGTCCATGGTACTGAAGTGCACACTGTTACAAGCAAAAGTGCTATTCTAAAAAGGTTTGACTCCTTACAATGGGTGGGTGTCAATACAGTGTTGTAGTTATGGTGCATGGAGTGTTCCTTTAATGCAGTATGCCACAGCATGTTTGTAATCAAACGTTTTTGTAATTTAATAGAAATATTTTAATATAGGGATCAAATATCTTGAGTTACAAATTCATCATTTAAATAATGAATAATAAAAAAGTTATGAGGGGCGTGGCTGAGCCGAGCATGCGACAGGACGTGTAGAGCCCGAGCTCCTCATCCCCTGGCCATAAAACAGCAATAATTAAGCGCTCTAAACGGCCCAACATGGTCCGAAATAAGAGGACACAAGCTCTGGGGGGCTCCCCACGCCGCCACACAGGCACTATGGACGACTACGTTAGCACCCAGAGCACACCGGGCAGCTTCGGGCCGCCAGACAAAATGGCGCCCGGATCCCCGAGCCAGGACAGCATGGGCGACTCCATCCCAGATGACACGCTGGCCCAGATCAAACAGGAGCTGGCCATGATCTCCACCCACATGCTTACCAAGGCGGACTCTGGCGGTCTCCTGCAAGAACTCAAGACGGCGATCCGGGAGGAGATCACTGCACTGCGGACGGACTTGTCGGCGGTTGAAGTGGGGGTGGAGGCCTTGGAGACCGAGGCGCAGGCTTGCCGCACACAGCACCGGGCCGCAGAACTGGCCACCACACGACAGGGGAACATGCTGCTCTCCCTGCGACGCCAGGTGGAAGACCTGGAGAACAGGAGCCGGCGGCAGAACATTCGGATCCGGGGCCTACCGGAGCCGGACACCACCCCACTGCCAGACACCCTGAGGGCCCTCTTCCGACAGATCCTGGGCCAGGAGGGCCCCAAAGAAATCCAGTTTGACCGCGTCCACAGGGCGCTAGGGCCCCAACGCCAGGATGGCAGGCCCCGTGACGTACTTTGCTGCCTGCACACTTACAGCACCAAGGAGAAGCTGATGGCGGCGACCCGGGGCATGACGAGCCTGCAGTTCAGGGGCTCGGAGGTGTCCCTCTACCAGGACCTCTCCGGCCTCACGTTAGATGCCAGACGCGCCCTCCGGCCCCTCACGACCACCCTGCGAGACAAGGGGATCCCTTACCGTTGGGGATTCCCCTTCAGCCTGCAAATTCGGCACGGCTCCACGTGGCTCCAGGTGCGCTGGCCCGACGACATCCCACGGGCACTGCGGACCCTCAAACTCCCGAACATCCGGGTCCGCAACTGGCTTTTGGATACCCCTCTGGCACCCCGACGGGACCCGGACGCGGAGGACCGCCCGCCGCCGACACGGAGAGAAGAAGCCCGGTCACCCCGGATGTGGGGTGGCCCGAGCGGAGCTGAGGAGTAATGGAGCGCAGGAGCCCGTGTGGCCCGGAATCAGCCGGACCACGAGGTACTTGGTGGGTCCTGGGTAGGGGGGTGAGGCTGCCCATAGCGGGATTAGGTAGCCTAGGTGGGGAGGGAGGACGAAGCTGTCTCTGAGACATTTGCGGACACTGATCTCCGGCCGCCACCGACTCTTCTCCCACCCCGGCCGGGGCAACTATACTGCCATCTGTTGCCACACTCACCGTGCATGGGAGAGGCCCCCCCCCCCTTTTTTTTTTTTTTTTTTTTCCGCCTAAAGTGGCACATGCCCCTGGTGTTTCCTTCCCTTTTTCTCCTTCCTTTTTCCCTACTGCTTAGAATAGGGACCGGAAGTGTTAGCTCCTGCCCGGGGTATGAGGTGGGCCTTGGGGGCTGCTGGGGGGGGGGAGGGGAATGGGGTCGCATGGGGAGACTCTGCACGCTCTTTATTTGGACAGCTCCTGGGGGGACTCTGGGAAAGGGGTGGGGGGTCTGGTGGAGTGGGGGCTGGGGGGGTACACGGCAGGGGGGGGGGTCCCGGCCCGGGGGGGTGGGCCCCGGCACGGAGAGGGCTTGGGGGGACGGGCTCGAGATGACCACACACGCTTGACATTGCCCCTAGGTTTAACTGCGTAGGGGGAGGCCCAGACGAAATGGGAACTAGACCTATGTACCTCTCACCCGGACCGCACCTTAGCACAGAATGGCTGTAGACAATCGACGAGGGCCAGGGGAGAGGACACGGGGGACCTATATTGAGACAGGACCAGTAGCTCTTATTTAGGGACACACCCATCCTCCACTCCTGCCCGCTCTGGGCCACACACGCACCCATAGACAGACTGTAACACACACTAGGACGGGGGACCAGGTGGGTGGTTAATTTAAGGGACGGAACACCCAGACCGGATTCACCCAACTAGACAGTCAAGTCTGCTTTTGTACATAGTTTCATTGTTGTGTTTGTTTAACTAGTTTCGCTCACAACCCTTTGACCACAGGGGCTACTGCCCCGCCGCGCGCCCGCGACCAGAGGACTCCGCCCCATACGTTGGCCTTCTGCGTTAGGCGAACACATCCGGGTTTCCCCCGGCGCCCCTCCCCCTCCCCCCACCGGGTCCCCGCCCTTGCCCGCGCTTCCCCCCTCGGCCCCCGGGACGCCGCTCTGGCCTCCATGTCCGCCCAGGGAACTGGGGGGTTCGCCCAGGCGCCCCTTCGTCTTTGGTCCAACAATGTCAGGGGTCTAAATACGCCGGAACGGAGGTCACATCTGCTGAGAGCCCTGTGGGCGGCTCGGGCATCGGTCGCATTCCTCCAGGAGACCCATTTTCAGGGGAAAGAGGCTCCGGCCCTCCGGGATCGGAGGTTCCCCACGGGGTTCTTCGCCAACCACGGAGACGCCAAGAAAGCAGGAGTGGCTATCCTCTTCGCCAGCACCGTGCCCTTCAACTGCCTGGAGGAACTGGCCGACCCGAACGGACGCTACCTATTTATTAAAGGCACGATAGCAGACCGGCGATACACCTTCGCCTCTGTGTATGCACCTAATACCAAACAACATCGCTTCCTCGCGAAAATAGCACGGCTGCTTGAGGGTTTCAGGGAGGGGCTCCTAATCCTCGCGGGTGACCTTAACATCCCCATGGACCCCCGCATGGACACCTCGAGGGGGGGCAGCTCACTGTCGGCAACCTGCCTTCGGGTCTCCCAGACGGCACTTCGAACAGCAGGGCTCGCGGACGGCTGGAGGGTCCTTCACCCAGACACGAGAGATTATTCCTACTATTCCCCAGTACACCGGGGACACAGCAGACTAGACTACATTTTTGTCTCTCAAGAGTACCTCCACCTGTTGCACTCATGTGAGATCCTTCCGGCCACATGGTCTGATCACTCCCCGGTTCTGGCCGTCATGGCGTCCCCCCTGCACAAGCCCACACGCCGGCAATGGAAGCTAAATGACCAACTGCTAGCAGATGCAGTCACCCTGGCGGATGCCAAGACGGTTCTCCGCCAATATTTCAATGAAAATGATGCCACAGAGACGTCACACCTGACCCGCTGGGAAGCACACAAGTGCGTAATCCGGGGACATTTCATCAAGGTTGGCACAGCGCGAAAGAAGGAGTCGCGCAGGCTCCTAACGGACCTCCATGCGCGGGTCGCCCAGTTAGACCAAGACCACAAAGCTACAGACTCGGAGGAAGTATACAGGGCTCTATTAGACGCACGACGGGCACTACAACACCAACTGTCTAAACAACTCTCACACTCACTGCGGAAATCCAATCGCCACTTCTACGAGTTTTCCAATAAGTGTGGCCGACTGCTCGCCAGAATGTTGCAGCAGAAACGCCGCCAGAGCCATATAACTAAAATCAGGTCGCATAACGGTCTCATTACACAAGTACCTGACAAGATAGTCGGGGAATTCCGAGATTACTATGCCAAACTCTACAACATTGCACCGGACAGGACAACCGAGGAGACGCACAGGAGACAAACGAAGACTCAAGCCTACTTAGACCAACATGTCACCCGGATTCTCACACGCGAACAAAGGGAGGAACTCGAATCCCCCATTACGCTTGAGGAGCTACAGGGGGCCCTAAAAAACACCCCCCTCGATAAGGCCCCGGGACCTGATGGGCTCCCCCCACGCTACCTTAAGGCATTCGGAGAGATCCTACTACCGGAACTATTGTCGGGCCTGAATTCGCTACTGGAAGAAGGACGGTTTCAGGGGGACACCCTCCTGGCAACCATAACGGTTATTCCCAAGGAAGGCAAGGACCCAGCCGAATGCTCCAGCTATAGACCGATCTCGCTACTCAACTCTGATCTAAAACTTTTTACGAAGGTCCTAGCGAACCGCATAGGCCGCCTGATCTCTACGCTGGTTCACCCGGATCAAACTGGCTTCATCCCGGGGAGAGAAGCTAGGGACAACACGGTCAGGGCTCTCAACATCCTGCACACACAACAGCGCTCTGAGCGGGGTAGCCTTCTCCTCTCTACCGACGCTGAGAAGGCCTTTGACAGGGTGGACTGGCACTTCCTTCAAGCCACGCTCCGGAAGATGGGCTTCGGCCCTAACATCCTGCGCTGGATTGCAGCGCTCTACACGACCCCGACGGCCCAGCTTCGGATCAACGGAGTCCTCTCCCCGACATTTGAGATAAAAAACGGGACCCGGCAGGGATGCCCCCTGTCCCCCCTTCTGTTTGCCCTCTCTCTGGAACCTTTTCTGGAGGCGGTCAGACGGGATGGGGGAATAACGGGGCTCACCCAAGGCGGCCGGGAACATAAGGTGGCGGCCTATGCGGATGACCTCCTATTCTTCATGGGAAGCCCACTGGTCACGATCCCTAATCTACTCTTGGCATTCGAAGCGTTCGGAGCCCTCTCCAACTTGAAACTCAACGCGACGAAGTCGGAAGCTCTTCCTATATCTCTGACACGTCAGCTGGGGGAACTCTTGCAGGCTCGCTTCCCCTTCCGGTGGTGCCCGCGCCGACTAAAATACCTAGGGATCTGGTTGACGAGGGACCTAACCCAGCTCTACCAGGAAAACTTCCTCCCCATCCTCCGCACACTCCAAGCGGACCTGATGCGCTGGGGGAAGCTCTGCGTGTCTTGGTTTGGTCGGATAAACGCAGTGAAGATGAACCTGCTGCCACGCCTGCTGTACCTGTTCCAGACCGTCCCAATAGCTCTGCCGCAGGCCTTCTTCCGATCCCTGGACTCCGCGATTCTGAAATTCATATGGTCGACGGGCCCACCGAGGGTGAGGAGGGCGCAGCTCATCCTCCCGAAGCACCGTGGAGGCACAGGATTGCCACATATCAAGGGATACTACCAGGCCTCCCACCTCTCCCGCATCATCGATTGGCATGTGTCAGCCACGGACAAACAGTGGGTTCAGCTGGAGCGGACGTGGGCGCGGGGACGGATCCCGCCGGTGGTCTGGACGCGGGTTCCGATGCGAGACCAGGAACTCAGTCGCCACCCCTTCATTGGGGCGACGCTGAGGATATGGTCGAACATCCGCTATAAATTGCAGCTCACGACCTTCCCCGCGCCCTTAACACCGGTTGTATACAACCCCGACCTGGCTGATGGGCTGCGAACGCAAGACGTGACTGGCATTGGGGAGGGGGGGGCCCGGCTCCTCCGGGAGTGGTGTACCAGGACAGGGATGAAAACCTACACCGCTCTGACAGCACAATCCAGACCCACGGGCCTGCTTCACTTCCGTTACCAACAAGTTAAGCATTACTACGCCACCCTCCAAGGGAGACAGTTACTGCACAGAGACCCCACGCAATTTGAGACTTACTGTTCCAGTGAAGAACACCTGACCCGCGGGATATCGATGCTCTACGCAATGCTCCTGGCTGCTGACCAGGGAGCGCCAGCTCACTTCCACGCCAGGTGGGAACAAGCAACAGGGGTCGCCCTGACGGACCAGCAATGGGAGAAGGTTCACATTCTCACGCACCAGGGGATCCTAAGTACCAAAATGAGAGAACTTAACTACAAAGTCCTGACCTGCTGGTACAGGACTCCGTCCAAACTGCGGTCCATGGGACTAGCAACTGACGACTCATGCTGGCGATGTAGAGCCGCTGAAGGTACAGACCTGCATGTCTGGTGGGCATGCCCCCGGATCACAGGTTACTGGCAACAGGTACATGACAAACTCTTGGAAATCCTTGAAGAAGACATCCCCATGGAGCCCTTGCCCATGTTACTCAACCATACGCAAATGCCAATATCACGCTACAAAAAATCTCTAATTCGGCACTTCCTCAACGCCGCCAAGAGCCTGATCCCTGCCAGATGGAAGTCGACCGATGTCCCCACGCTATCTCAATGGCTAGATAAGATAGACGAGATATACAAGATGGAGACCCTCACGGCAGAGCTCCGGGGAACACAGGAACGCTGCACCCGACTGTGGACCCCCTGGATCACTTTCATGGCGGACCGGGGACGGGGGTCGCCGGCCCATTGGGGGTCCGGGGAGGAGGCTGGTGACGGCCGACGGGTGGACTTGGGGGGCACTGGGGCATGAGGCGCCCCCCCTCCCCTTTTTTTTTTTTCTTTTTTTTTCTCTTCTCTTCTCTTCTCTCTCTCTTCTCTTCCCTGTCCCTCTCCCGCGCCAGCGCCTGGGGGGACCCGGCACACCCACCTATTAACACACGGGCTCCGATACATTTGGCCTGAACCCCGCCCATACAAGACACACACCACACAACCCGGATCTGGTCTTGACGGGGATCAGGCGCCCCACGCGCACATCGTCACCAACCCAGTTCACATAGGCGACTATGAACTAGACTGAGACTGAGTAGAGAGAACCACACTAGATGCACATAGTCAGCCGGAAGCCCAAAATGGAGCCCGCCACGCACGCACTGGCCCTACGGGGGCGACCGGGGGGTCCCCGGGGGATGGAGGGTTCACATGACACCACCAGGCCCGGACATCTGACGGCTCTAGGGGGACCAAGACGACCTGGACGTGGCCCCGACTCAGCCACCCGAGAGAGCGGCCGGCCCTCGGGCCGCTTGCCCCTGCACAAGATCTGGGGGCTGCAGGAGACCAAGAGGCGCCCCTCTCTCCTCAGGGGGGGCGCGGGGGCGCTTTGGCACCCAGGCCCGCACGAATACCTCCCCCCCTGGGGAGGGGAGCTCAACCCGCACCTCAAACCAGTGTGCCCAGGCCCAACCGCGTCACAAGGCACATACTCACCTATCTTCCACCTCACCCATAACCTTCCCCACAGAGGACCCGGGGCTGGGGGGCGGGGGATGGGGGGGGGGAATGGGAGTAACGGTGCCCCTACTGGCCTTGGGGGGGTCATACCTGCCGCCTGGGAAGAACCAGGCCACTAACTGAGCAACAGCAGTGGGCTCGCACCCCAGTAAGGGTGGTCGATACGGGAAGGGGTTTACCAAAAGGTGTTATTAGCGTAACATTGTTATGGAAATATATGTTTGCACTGTTATTTCTTGTCAAACCACAAAACTAAATAAAGAATGTCAAAAAAAAAAAAAAAAAAAGTTATTATTATTTCCACAGCAAAAGGCAACTGAATTGAGCCAACGTGAAATGACAAAGAGTGTAAAAATATGTTTGTCATGAATTTTAATTCTTCATATTCTGTAACAGAATTGCCAAATGAATCAACAGCTGCCTCAGTATCATCACCTAATTTAATGAGAACGTTTGCAACATAAATCAAACAGGATGCTGTGCAAAATGCAAAAATATCTAAGCAAAGGCATTTTATATTCTCTTATATGGTTTAATGGTTATTTTGGAAGTTAACACATAGAGACACGGTGTAAAAAAACTAAGCACCAAGCACCAAGATCACTTCATTTTGAAAAAGCAAACATATATTCCTAATACTATAGTATCTCTCACTAATTAAATTAGTGGTCCCCACTTGCTTAAATTAAAAAAAGGAAGAAAGGTTTTACTTTACTTTTTTGCCAGCACCGTGACTCACTTGGTGCTGCCTTTCACTCCTCCAGTGACACCGTCTGGCAGTGTTGCTTCAATAACAAAAATAGAGTCAGCGCTAATATATCAAAAGCAATACAAAAGGCAGCAGTCCCAAACAAGTACTCCCTCACGTGTCCTTGAAATAAATGGAGAAGGCAAACAAACAAAAAGGTGGGACTGCGCCAATAGGCAAGGTAGGTAAATTAAAGTCCTGATTGAGGTAGTAATAACGCAACAGAGTCCAGTATAGTAGAACTTAGATCCTAGGTTAATTTTTGTAGTTGTAGGGTTCCATTCCTTGCAGGTATATGGAGGAGGGCGATGAGTGATGGAACCGGTGGTAGTGCAGGGTGATCCAATATTTTATTATTTCTTATACTCCAAAGAATCCTTAGGTGGGGATTATACCACTCATGCCTGTGTCATAGAGCAGTTAGTCTGCCCTATATACTGTGAGTATATTTTATTATATTTTATATACCATAATTATTTTACTGAGAGCACTATTGCTGTTTTATTATCTTCTCCCTGAGCTCCTGTTACCATCTCAAAGAATCATCGTAAAGAATGCTCACCACATATCCCAGAGGCGGGGATTATACCGCTGTATGCCTACTACACTAGAGCTAGTATAAGCTCTATTAAACGTGAGTGGATCTACTATATTTTAACATTTTAATTTATTTTTTGGAACATACTGCACCATTATTGTTTTTTGTTTTATCTCCCCGCTGGCTGTCTGGAATTGCACTGCAGAGGAGACTCACCACATATCCATGAGACTCACCACATATCCTACAAGTGGGGATCATACCGCTAGAAAGCTACCCACACCAGAGCTGGATTAAGCTCTATAAAAAGTGAGTAAGATCTCTTCTATTTTATTTTGATACCTTTTGGATCACCCTGCACTACCACCGGTTCCATCACTCATCGCCCTCCTCTATATACCTGCAAGGAGTGGAACCCTACAACTACAGAAATTAACCTAGGATCTAAGTTCTACTATACTGGACTCTGTTGCGTTATTACTACCTCAATCAGGACTTTAATTTACCTACCTTGACTATTGGCACAGTCCCATCTTTTTGAGTGTTGCTTCAATGCCTTTACTTCAATGTCAGTGCTTCTCACAGAGAAGCACTGAAGCATTGAGACACAAAGTCAAATCGGTGAATGGCACGTAAATACTCTGTAACGAGTGCACACGCCATCTAGTGGCTGTCAGGAAGACAACCACTAGAGATGTGTCTAGCCCTTGCATTCACAACATTGCTTTATCTACCAAATGGCATTGTTTTACATTGGAGGGCAAAAACACCAGGGGTTCTCCACCCAGACCAGTTTATTGATATGAAGTTGGCTGGGTGCCTTTAGTGTCTACTTAATGTGGTAATTTTAGGACATTGGTGCTGTCCTACAGCCTTGAACAAGAAAACAGAACCATTTCTAAGTAAAATCATTATTTATGATGGGTAGATTTTACTCTTTCTCGACAGACAATAACTAAGGGCTTGAGTCCATTCAATTACTCGAAAATGAACTCAGGACTTTTCAAAAAGAAACAATTGGATTGACAGAATGTAGTGATTGTCACACAAGTGCTGTGTGTCCTCAATGTTTCTATAAGAGAAGCATCTGATTGGACATAGATTATCAGTCTTGATGATCTCCCAAATGGACGCTCAAGCTGCAATGAGTAGTCTGTCCTTTTCACAAGACCAGTGATGGTGAGTGGTTTTAGGCTTGAATGCTTGATTTTCTGCACAACACCAAGTTTCAGACTTTAAAGTGCCAACACTGCATATTAAACATTGAAAGAAAGTTTACTCGGTACAAAATTACTGCACATAACAGTATGCTTTAATTCACTTATATAAATTATGTTATTTAATAATAATATTTTCATGAGCATTTGCACTGAAATTATATTACGGAACATTTATAAATGTGTCCAAATTTATTAACCCCTTAAGGACACAGCTTCTGGAATAAAAGGGAATCATGATGGAATATTTCCATCATGTGTCCTTAAGGGGTTAAACAAAACAGTGTTAATACAACTTAAACATCACTAATGTGGCAAACGACTACAATGAACATGTTCTTTGAGTCATGGCTAGTGAGACTTCCTCTGCTGTATGCATGATGACTATTTGTCAAACCTTGGCTCATACTCACACACAAGTTGCACTCACATCATCAGTCAATCTGCTATGAATGTCAGATTTCATATAATTCATGGATGAAAACAACTTCTCACAAAAGTACGATGACCAAAAAAAAATTAAATAATGAGTGCAATCCCTATGGTGTTCCTGGATTTGAGGATCTTTAGGATCTCGTGTTCTACTGCTTTAGAGTTGTTTGTAGATTAGTGAATTTATTTTTCCAAGCAGAGCTTTCCTAAAACTCAAACAGTTCAATTTCCAGACTTTAAAGCCATAACCATGGAATGCACGAGAAACCCAGTACTTACAAAATTGCTTTATTGAAACTATCAAAAGCCATGACCATGGAATGCACGAGAAACCCAGTACTTACAAAATTGCTTTATCAAAACTATCGAAAGCCATGACCATGGAATGCACGAGAAACCCAGTACTTACAAAATTGCTTTATCAAAACTATCGAAAGCCATGACCATGGAATGCACGAGAAACCCAGTAATTACAAAATTGCTTTATTGAAACTATCGAAAGCCATAACCATGGAATGCACGAGAAACCCAGTAATTACAAAATTGCTTTATCGAAACTATCGAAAGCCATGACCATGGAATGCACGAGAAACCCAGTAATTACAAAATTGCTTTATCGAAACTAGTGATAAAAACCAAGGTTGTTTCCATATCGTGGAACTGAAACAATCTGCTCCTTTGTACCTCTCACAAGATTGGAAAACTCAAGGTAGATGTCTTGATGAATTATGGCACTGTCTTAAAAGGATGTCAAATAGTCCAGGTGAACTGCGAGAAATACTTCAGCTGCCCACAGACAAGGTCTCTGTCAAAAACATGGAATTTCCTTTCAAAGGCATTGATATAACCTTGATATCATTGTAGTTCAACAACATTCCCAGTGCTGGAGACATCCCTGTTCCTTTTAGCAGAAAATATGTTGGGTACTGATTAAATTACTAGTTATGTACTTATTAAAGAAGTACACAATTAGTAAGGAAACTATGGCATTATTAACCCCTTAAGGACCAAACTTCTGTAATAAAAGGGAATCATGACATGTCACACGTCATGTGTCCTTAAGGGGTTAAATACATATATTTTTTACGAACAAATTTTGGTGCATGATGGGCATTCTATAAATTCTCAGCATAAAATAACTATTTATCAATATATTAAAAATGTATGTATACACTGAAGTGTGATCATGAACAAAAGTGATATTAAAAAAAATAACCAAATATCGCCTGCCCCCCCCACATCTTTCTGCTTGCCTGGTAATATAATTTATTTATACCACAGCACCAGATGCAATAGGTAAGGTATAATAAGACTTAATTTTAACCTA